ATATAAACAGAGCAGGAAATGGACTTCTGAGATTGGGTATTCAAAAATATGTACAAACATTACTTATAAATAAATAAATAAACAAGAGTGGGAAAAGACTGTGGTTATGAGAAGGAGAGACCTGGTTTTGAACTCCCCTTACTAGCTGAGCTCCATCATTCATTCAACAAATCCTTACTAAACACTTACTGTGTGCCACACTGAGCCACATAGCGGGGTCCTTTCTAATAGTTTTCCCTGATTTGTGCTCCTTGAGGCCACGTGTTCCAGATAGCATAGATTCATGATGGAGAGGGACCACTCAAAACATACACGGTCCCTGCCTTCATAGGGTTTCCAATCTAGTGGAGATGATAGATATCAAAATAATTGCAGAAATAATTATTTAAATTGCAATTTTGATAAATGCCTCCAAGGGCAAGCACAAGGTGATCATCTGGAGGGACTAAACTAATCTGGGCAGATAAAGGAAGGTTTCTTGGAAGGAGTGACACTTAAATTGAAATTTATTACAAAACCAGTAAGAATTGGCAAGCGAAGAAGACAGTGAGGAGAGTTCCAGGCAGAAGAAAGACAGGAGTGAAGGCCTACGGCTGACAACTTTCTTACCCCTTTGAGCCTCAGTTTCCCTATCTGTTGTAGTACATGGTGCTGGTGGCCCACCAGCCACTTCTCACATCTCATGGCTACTCTAAGGATTGGCTGCTAACAACTCACAGAAGCCTCTTTGGAGCAGCTGTCTTTTGCTAGCAGAGGCTGAAGTGCCTGGGATGTGATGGTAGCCCTGACCCATCCTCACTCGGGGCAAAATGGTGGGGCGGGGTAATGCTGTGGTGTCACTCATGCTCCGTGGCATGGAGGGACCTACCTGAGGCCAGACCTCACCTGGGATATCAACAGATATCCCACTTTCGCTTGACTTCCTCTCCTGCCTCCTCCTGGGGCCTCCCCAGAGAGTGCTCCCTCAATAACCACTTACTCAAGAATCTCCATCTCGGATTTTGCTTCCGGGAATGCTACCAGGATGGTCACCTTAAAGGAAATAATGGATTTAAGCCACATATTGATAGTCATGATATAAAGGAGCACGGCACTGGGAATCCCTGGCAGGGTGAGCCCTGGGGAGCATCCCTAGGCACGCCCCTCCAGGTGTCTGGGTACTTCATTTTGTGCAAGGATGTTAACCATACTATTGACAAAGTATATACATATCCATAGTCTAATTTGGCTCTCAAAACAAACCCTCAAAGTAGGAAGGAGCAGGTATCATCACAAGCCTCCAGATGGTCCAATGAGGAAAGCCAGGTCGGAGAGGTGCAGCTTGCTTGAGCTTACCTGTTGGTGTTGCTGGAACTCAGAGCTGCGACCTTAGACACCAAGCTCTTTGACTGCCACATGTTGTGTCCATGCTGTTGATGGGTGCCCCAGTAGGGACCAAGCACAGACCAAGACGGAAGACTTGCCTGACCTGATGTGGCATTTTTATGCCCTCCTGGGTCTGCTTTCATCTTTGCTAATTCGACCTTGAGGGCAAACATGTTCATCATGTGAATGCACACTCCACTTTTCAAAATGAGTGTCTGTGTTTTCTTTTTTCCAAACTAAATGAAGTGTGCTGGTTTCCTTTACCGCTGAGATTTCTACCCGCTTCTTCAAGTGCAAAAGAGCAGAAAGTCTTTGGATTCAACTAGCGCATAACAATCTAAAGAGGAAAGCAAATGAAATGGTTTGGGTGTCATTTCAGCCAGGGAATTAAGGATGTCTTAAAGAGCCACAGTCCCTCAGGCAGATTTGCTGCAAGGTGCCAGAAGTTTCTGGAAAAGGAATTCCACCCATCCTCTCTCTCCCGTGAGCTTTGAATAAGAGGGCGGGGTAACCTTGTGCATAACCTGTCTGGTCCTGAAATTCCCCAGGCGGAATAAAGGATGCTTTGGCATTTGTGTGATAGCCTCTAGATCTTTCTTTTCTTGCCTCCCAAGTGCACAGAAACAGGACTTTCATTTCTTGAGAGTTAATTTCCATCAGCAGCTTATTCTCCATCTAAAGTCACAATCCTCTTTGGGGAAGCAATTGGTTATTGTGTAAAGGATTTTGAAGTTACATACGAAGGATTATGACTCTATTTGGTGAGTAAGAAGCAGTATCAGGAGAACTCTTAAGCACCAAATACCCAGTTTTGATGAAAATAGTCCTAGTGGAGATAAATAAGAGAAGGAACAGTAAAATCTATGGAATTGTTGTAGGAGACAGAATTGTTAATGAGAACTTCATCCAAATATGGCATATCATTTCATCTATGGAGCATTGCGATGTATTTCTCCCAGGTGTGCTGGGATGCCCTGCTTATAAATTGAACTTTACTGGTTTTATGAAACTGTTCGTTCCCATTATTTTTATCGCACCGTTCTTGCCATAAACATAATCCCTGCCCTGTCTCCCTCAGAGGACTTCAGCGAAGAACAAATGGGAAAATGTGCTGTGCCTCAAAACACTGCATTTCTGCAAAGAGTTCTTCTCACTATGTGCAGTAATGCTTTTTCAACAAAAAGCCAAGTCCTCAGCACACTTGGTCCACGTTTTGAGGGCTCTGTCTTGACACAGTTCTACACAAGCACTGTTTTATTTCAACATATACACGAGTCTGACCAAAATAACACTCGTGAAATATTAACTCCAGAAATTTAACCCAGGATGCATAGAGGTGGAAAGATTGCAATTTTCATAATGTTAATCATTTGGTGTCTTCCACTACTGTGGAATTTTTAACAGATATTGTCTATTTGCAACCAGAGCCTGTTGGCCCACAGTTCAAAATGTGAACGTTAGCATCTCACGACTTTCCTGGAGCCAGGCCCATCTCTGCTCATGGGAGGTAGGTATGTTCTTCCATTTGGCAGTCTGAGTTAATTCATTCTTCAAAGAAGGTCCTGGTCCTGCAGATCCCCTTTTCCTTTTGGCTTAACATGACTTTCAGCTCAAAGTCATTTGGATTAGCCTCCTAGCTTTGGTTTGGAAGTAAACTCTAAGAAAAAGAACTCTGACATATACCTTGAAACTCATGTGACTCCACCAGACCAAAAAATGCTGCCCAGCAAAATGGGGAGATGGGCTCTGAACCCAGAAGTACATGTCACTCTCTCCTACTTGGGCCCATTTGCTGCGGATCGTCATCACATTTTCATGAGGGGAACAGGCACACGATTGGGCTCTTAGTAAAAAGTTTTCTATTGCATCAGCATTAAAGTGAACTTTCTATCATTTTGCGCTCTTATTAGTTCCTATGAATCATTTTCCAAAGTCGATAGTGTGAGCCATTTATCCGGAAGGCCACGAATAATGCTCAAATGGCTGTATATTTCCCGCACAGTGACAAGTGGCGCTCTTAATGATGACTCCAAGGTACCATGGGATGCTGAAGTGACTGTACAATCAAGGATCAAATGATGCTCACTGCAGGCTGAGGATTAAGTGCGTGTGATTTTGTTATGAATCACTGCAAAATGGATAACTCTTGTTATGCACAGGCAACTCCGGGTTGGATAAAATATTAACCAACAATCCTATTATCCCATGTCAAATAAGAAGAAAAAGATTACAACTGATATCTTTCTAACATAGAAGCGAGGAGAGCCACTTTGAAAACAAATCACCAGAGGACTCAGTATATAATAATAGCTATATTCACGATGATGCTGCAGCCCTACTTGTGATGACATTGGGATCCAACTCATGGTCTTGAGGCAACACAGACACATACAAATGCATAGGCTTTCTGAGCATAAAAGTCATGGCCTATGGAGGGCAGTGATTTTGCCACTTGTCGATAGAGAGAAGGCAGGAAGTAGCTTAGATCACAGCTCTGATTAGAAAGCCCCCGTCTTAGGTTATATCCCCATCCTAGTCCATGTGTGTTTTTATAAAGGAATCCCTGAGGCTGGGTAATTTATAAAGAAAAGCAGTTTAGTTGGCTCAAAGTTCTGCAGTTTGTGCAAGAAGCATGGTGCCAACATCTGCTTCTGTCGAGAGCCTCAGGCTGCTTCCACTCATGGCAGAAGGTGGAGGGGAGCAGGTGTGTGCAGATCACATGGCGAAAGAAGAAGCAATTGAGAGAGGAGGGAGGTGCCAGCCTCCTTTTTTAAAAATGACATTTTATTTTATTTTAGAGAGGTGGAGTACAAGTAAGGATAAACTGCACAAGTAGGCTGCATGAAGGTGACGTTTGGGCCTCCAACTGGCCCTCACTCCACCTGGGACAGGACTGGGTACACTTTGTTTTGTTACGTGTTCCCCACCCCCTTCTGGTAGTGTCCAGTGACTACGGGTCCCTCCCTTGTGCTAATGTGATCCCACATTATGAGTGAGAACACATATTCAGTTCTTTGTTTCTGTAATAGATCACTAAGTATGATGGCCTCCCACTCCATCCAACTTGCCACGAAGTCCATGATTTTGCCAATATTTTTTTAACAATCCACTATTAAGAAAAATTAAATTAGAGTAAGAACTCACTCATCACCACAAAGATGTCACCAAGCCATCCATGCAAGATCAGCTGCCATGACCCAAGTACCTTCCTTTAAGCCCCACGTCCAACACTGGAGACCAAACTTCAGCGTGAGCTTTGGAGGAGATGAATATCCAAATAATAACACCACTCTGAATGTGCTTGATCTAGTTTGATCTCGGAAGCTAAGCAGAGCTGGGCCTGGTTGTAACCAACCCAGGAGAGTAACCTATATCCATCTTCTTTACAGAAAGACTCTGTGTTCCTAAACTGGGGGGTTCTGGAAACCTGTCCCTTTGGGGTCCTCACCATACTGGTCTGTGGGAAGGTCCTAATGCCAGCTCAGGACCCATGGGTCTAAGATGATTTGTCAGTCTTAGACAAATCAAGATACTTGGTCATGGAGCTCGTGCCAGTGTTGTTCTAGATAACAGGATATGTCCATTGATTTTCAGTAAACAGAATACTGGTGCTTCCATGGCAGCAGCCATTGGAAAGCAGCAGCCATGGCCCTGCATGACCCCATGGCCATGGGCCTCAACAAGGGCCACAAGGTGACCAAGAATGTGAGCAAGCCAAGACACAGCTGCCACCGCTGGCACCTGACCCAACACACCAAGTTCGTGCGGGACATGATCCCAGAGGTGTGCAGCTTCACCCGCAACAAGCGGTGCACCACGGAGCTGCTCAAGGTCTCCAAGGACAAGCGGGTGCTCAAGTTCATCAAGAAACGGGTGGGGACGCACATCCGCGCCAAGAGGAATCGCAAGGAGCTGAGCAACGTGCTGGCCGCCATAAGGAAGGCTGCAGTCAAGAAGGACTGAGCCTCCCAGCACCCAATAAAGCCTTTGCAGAATCCAAGGCTCTGCTGCCTGGGGGGAGTGGACGCCGGCAGTGCTGGAAAAGGTTTTTATTCATTAAAAAAAAAGAATACTGGTAAAGTGCATGGACTTTGGTGTTAATAAAACAAGTTTTAAATCCCTTTCTTGCCACTTACCAGCCATGTACTTGCTATTGTCAAATTGTATAACTGCTCTAAACCTCCGTTTTTTCATTAGTATATCAATGATAACCGTGCTTCCAATGATGATATATACTTAAAGAGTCTCTGTGGCATAAATGAGATAATGTTTGCCACATCTTTGGCACAGCCCCCGGCACATGGTCAGTCTTTAACAAGAGCAACGATTATGTTTTATCTGACAGCCTCCCACAATCAAATATGCATATATGCATTTGCTGGCTTCCTTTATCCTTACCAATTTAATAACCTGATATCATGTTCTCACTCATTATTATAATAGCAATCATTATTGCAATTACTGTTTGTTCACGACACCTGAAATTATAATAATTATTATTTTTATCCTGCTTTCACAAATGTCATTAATAACTACTAACCATTAGATGTCATTAATAATCTCTGATTTCATGACATTCCACCCCAGTGTTCAGGATAAACGAGTTTGTTTTATTAGTGCTAAGGGCTGGCCATAGCGAAGGATACGTCTTTCTTTTTAAGCGAAAAAGTCTCCTGGAATGCTCAAGGTGAGCTTATTCTCTATTCTGAACTAAGCACAGCAACTGACTACATTTAATATCTCACCTAAAATATCTGGAAAGACCTTGTTCTGAAAGAAAACATTCGAGGTTATGAGGCGTGTGTGAAATCATGTGCACTGGGCGGGAATCAGCCATCCGCTGCACTGTGAGGCAGTACTCTAGAAGAAATAACGGGGTTGGTTGATTGGTTTTAAAGCTACATGAAATATCAGCTCTTTGTAGTAAACACCCCATAATGATGCATGAGGATATAAGTATATAAGCTAAGTCTCATTTAACTTCCATATTTTTCCAAATTATTTTATTTACTGGGGTTTTGCTAAAATTAAATTATAGCATGTAGGATAGAAACAAGAACATGAGACTTCAGCTTCAAAGAAGTAAGCCTCAGTGAAATGTGGCATTACTTGATTGATGAAATGACAGGGATTTTAGAGTGACGAATGAGGTGTGAAGGAAGGCTAGCATTCCATTTGGGTTCTAGGCTTCTGATTTTCTTCCCCCTCAAGTCCCTTGTGACTCTCTTTAGCTGCAGGAGTAAAGAGATTCTGGCAACCAGCAGGTGCAGCAGAGGATGCAGCGTGGGAGGGACAGAACCATGGGGCCCTCTTTCACCTCCTCTTTGAGAGGGTGGCCATTCCCACATGTACAAAGGCAGCTGGACCCATCCCTGAAATGATTTTCTGCTCAGGCAGTTGACAGACTCCTGTTTTGCTCCCTAAAGATTGACTGTAGACTTCTCAAGGTCAGGGACTAAGTGGTGCTCAGGTTGGTATCTCCAGCACTTTGCGCAAGACCCGGTGAACAGATGGTGCCCTATAAAGATTCCTGAACAAAAAGAGAACTGTGCAGAGTGAATCCAAAAATGGGTGGGTGTGGCATGGAAATGTGCAGGGCCAAAGAGGCGAAACAGTCTGGGCTCTTTCTGGAACTATAAAACAGACTCAGGTCACCTTGGGTCATCACTCCCTTCTCCCATTTTGATTTCTGAGTGGTAGGGAGATTTTCGCTGAACCTCATAAAATTTCATCTTTGTCAGTCAAAAATGTTGAAATATCTGTAATTAAAGATTCTACCTAATAGTAGGCAGAGGGATTAAGAGTACTTACATCAGGTGCAGCGATGTGACTTTGAATTCCGACCTCTCTGCTTAGAGCCCATATGACATTGGACATGTTACATTTCTCAGTGTCCATTCCTGTGTAGAACTGCAGAGTTGTGACAATAATACTTTGACCAATTTAACTGCTGCTGCTCCTTCTCCAAGGTTTGGAGAGCTCAGACCCTGTTTTGTTCCTTTTTATCTGCTTCTATTGTCCCAAAAGTAGGCGTTGGTCACAGCCCCCATTCTGCAGTGTGTTTTCTACATGTTGTTAGTCATTATACTGTTTGCCATTTTAAAATAAGATTGACATAGAAGCTTAAAAACAGGCATTCAATTGTTTTTTTCCATTAAAATAAAAAATTTCAATAACGCAGAAAGCATTTTTTGTATTTAATTATTCAAACTAATGGGTTTTATTGTAATGAGATTTTTGAAAATCATTATGATGGGCAAAGGACTGGGGCTTAAAATATTTTCATTTACAGATATGTTCTGTTTTAATGAAACCCAGTATGCAAAAATCTAAACTCAGGTAGATTGGGAGTTTTATCCAGGCTTATATTGTTTACATTACAAAAGGGGTAGTCTGCTTTACAAAAGCATTTATTTCAGTGTTCCTTGAAACAGTGAGAACACTATGGTACACTCAGAATACAACTTGAATGATTACCCTGTTATGTACACACAGGTGTTTCCTGTCAAGCAAGGTTCACCTGAGGAAAGTATTGGGCTGAGCCAGGAATGGCTCTGAATTGCATAATCCGTCAGAGAAGAGGAATTCAGAGGAGAGATTTGAGTGACATCCTCGTACAAGGTAAGAAAGGTTCAACATTCGACTTTCAGGCTCCTATCTAATCTTGATGTGAAAGCGTCTGTCAAATGCACCATTATATCTCTTTAGCTTAAACTGAGGGGTGTTTAGCGATTAAAGTAATGGAACACGAATCAGGAGTCGTGTTTTCTGTTTCTGTCTCTTCTAGCTTCCAAGTAGATACTCTTGACGTGTTCACTCTAAAACCGGTTTCTCATTTATGAAGCAATTATTTCCATCCTGGGAGATGCAGTAAAACCTTGTTAATGTTTTTAATCGCCTATGAACTCTTCAGACTCTAAGTATCTGGCCCTGTTGCCCTCCCCAGCATGTGAAACAATTGCCAGAAAGCCCTCTTTTCTCAACATTTGTCCTCACCTTTAAAAATAAAATAAGTGGTTATAAAAACCAAATCGGCAGCAACAGAATTAAGAAACAGAAAAACTGTCACCCAAACTGTACATCAAAACTTTCCCAAACAGCTTTAGTAAATAAAACTTTAAAATCTAGCAAGTGGACAGCAACCTGTCACTAAAGCTGTTGTACAGGCTATTTTATTCAAAAGAATTTGTTAAATCCATATCAGCAAATCAGGGCCAGTTTGTGTAGTTAGTGAAAAGATAGAAATATCCTCATTATATAGAAGTGGGCAAAACACTGAATATATCTCACAATCTAAGTTGTGAGAGTTTGAAAGTAGAGTTTTGATTATTTTAGACCTATGATCTTTGAAAGTAAACACTAGTTCTAGAATTGCAGTAGAATCAGATCATTGAATTTAATCATTAAAAATACAATTACTTTACTTATCTATTAAGGGAAAGCAAACCATCTTTAAAAGAAGGGATGTGGTAGATTTGTATTCAAAGGAAAAGGAAAAAAAAAGAAACCCAGTGATGAATTAAAGCTAAGGCTTAAGTAGATAAGTTATCTCCCTTCCTTTTGCTTCCAAGAGTCGAATTTATTCATTTATTCTCATTTGCTAAATGCAATATTAAACCAGTCTCCCCAAGCCGTAGAACAGTGGCTAGAACATCATAGTCACTCAGTAAATGAGTTGGCATTTACTGAAGTGCCCTATCCCGTCATGCTCAGGGTGGATGCGGTTCAGTATAAAGGCAGGGTGGGGCAGTACAGACCAGGCCCTATCCCAATCACACCGGCATGTAGCACCAGTTGGTAAATAAGGAGCCAGGTTCAATCACTGCACCCCGCTGGGGGCAGCCACCCATGAGCTGCAGGGTATTAGTTCACGTAGGGTTTTGAGTCCCAATAAGAATGAACAGAGAAAGCCGGGCTCGGTGGCTCAGCCTGTAATCCCGCACCTTTGGGAGGCTGAGGTGAGTGGATTGCCTGAGCCCGCGGATTCGAGACCCGCCTGGGCAGCGAGACCTC